AAAATGTTAGGGTGTATCTTCTTTTAACTTGTTTGGGCAACAAGACATGGATTCATTGGTAAAACAATGTGTGATGTTTTGTAATTAGGCAGCAGGTGGGGAGGGCACCTAATCAAAAATCTCAGGGGAACCACTAACCTTAATCAGGGCTCAATCTTGCAGGGCAAAATCATGATTCTGTCAATCTGCCCAACACATGATCTTACACAGAAAAAGAACTTTGAAGGCACGGGTCAATTCCCTGTGGGATTGTGGGCTCCTGCTCTGCCTCAGGCCTGCCTGTATCGCACCAATATCGAAGAAAACGTGAGCAATTAAGTGGTTTCCCACTTGGATTTTCAGAATTTCGGGCCTATAATTACCTGTTTAAAGGGGGATAAACAGGCTAAAAAGTAGTGGAGAATGTCAAGTCTGGTTAGTCAACTTGGAACTAGGAAGAAGGGGATTTCTTTTGCTCTGAACTAAGAAGATTTCGGGGCTGGGTAGTTGGACAGGAAAAAATCTGGTGCATGTGCAGCACCTAACAGATCTAGTGAATTGGCCCCTATTCAGATTTGGATATGTAACATGAGCATGTCACATATAAAAGATGGTTAATTTTTAGATAATTGTTACCATATAACAGTTGATCTTTTGAAAGTTATTGGTTCAAACAATTTATATGTGTAATTTTTTTAATCACATAAATATAAAAATAAAAGTTTAAGAATAAATTAAAATTTTAGAAAATATATAGATATCAAATGCCTCAAAACATATAATGATCAAAGGAATGAAGAATTTCTTAGGTCATTCTCATGCCACTGCATGAAAAACATGTAATGATTCATCCTATCAATCAAGAATATAAACTGAAAAAAAATTAAAAAAAGCTATAGTTAATGACTTATTACTTCACTTTCACTGGAAAAAAATTGTTAATTAAAATCTATAAAAGGTGTTTATGAGTTGGGTGGGATTTTTTTTTTTTTTCGGCTAAGTTCAGTTGAAAATTTTTAAATTATTTTTGTTTAAATTCATTATAAATTAAAATCTTATTAAAATATTTAAATGTTTTATATAAATATTTTAAATTAAAATTAAGTATTAATAAAATAATATTTTAGATTGAATCTAATAACTTGAAATTTTTTTCTAAAACTTGATTCTTATTGGGCCAAACCCACGAGCGTAACCAGCAACATCCCAATCCATGGATAGGTTATTTTCTCATTTATAGTAAGTAATATTTTATTGTCATTTTTTTGCAATAAATATTGGGTGTATTTTATTTTACACACTAAAAAATAAAAAGTACTAAGCACATTGAGTATTTCAATTATTTAATTTTAATAAATAATTATGTGAAAATTCATCACTTATAAAAATAAATTTTACATAATATTTTAATAGACTTTACGTAATTTTAAAATTTGGTTGATTAATTTTAAATATATATTTATTATAAATAATATGGTTTATAAATTAATTACTAAATATAACTACAAACCATCAATAAAACAATATAAAAATCAACAGAATGGCCAACCCCTACAACATATTTTGCTCGTTTTAATAATTAAAACGATGTTTTTAATTTTTAATTTTTAATATGCCTTCAACTTGATGAATGATTCAATTCATTATTATTACATAAACAAAAGATAACATCAAATCAAGAAATTCAAAATTTATGGAGGGAATAAAAGCTCCTATAAATTTTTTTACAATAAACAATGAAGAAACTTGTCACTTTCATATCGCCCTTTTATAATTACTTGGTTAAAAATGGTGTGACATGTTGAAAACTTCATGCCTAATCATTAAAAAGGAAAATAAAAATCAAGATTCGATATTTATTTGATAGGCCAATCGAATTAATCAAGCTTTATTTTCATTTTTCATTTTTTAAAATTGCTCCATAGGGCACATAATGAGTGGCCAATTGGATTCGATGCCTTGCCAAAAGAGAGCCTAAAGGCCCACATCCAAATTTCCTCACAAAATCTTTGCCTTTGCATAGGGCAACAGTCTCCATTCTAAATTGACTTGAATTTGCAACATTTTTTTTATGGCATTGGCATAGCCTCTCACTAAGGTTTTGACAAATCAGTTTTCATTTCTCAACAATAATTTTTTTAAGGTTTTTTAAGTTGATTCGATTTGACGTATACTTCATTCGGATGAACGATGAAAAAAATTTTTATCGCACTTAAAGCGTTTTTTGTCACTAAAATAAAGCCAATATCTATCAATGAATGAATTATTCTTTACTTTCAATAAAACAAAATAAATAAATAAAAACAAGTTAATCATACCCTAACTTGAGACTTGCCTATTTACTTGCATTTATTTATTTCTTTTGTTGGAAAGCTGTATTAGATCTTGATGATCAGAAGCTAACTTATTCATAAGCCTCAGCAAGGGGAGAAAAAAAATGTGGAAAAAGTGGTGTTAAATGTTAATGGTTTCAACTTGGTTAGGGTTTATAAATAAATAGTTAGATGGCTTGTTGAGAAAGGTAGTAAATAATTGCATTTAATTGGAAAATAAAGTAGAAACCAACATTAATAAACATGAAAAAAAAATGATTCTAACCCCCTTTTGTCTTCCATTTTGAGTAATTGACAAATCACCTACCACAACATTATATCTCAATAAAATGAAAATTGTGATACATTCTTCTTCATTTTATGTTTTTCAAATAACCAAAGTAAAAGATATTGCAATTCACATTTTCCTTTGAGGATGAATCTATTTATATTAATGTAATTTTTGTAGTTTTTTTAGATATTTGGATTAAAATTATTAAATTAAAAAATATTATTTTGATTTAAATGAATTATGAATTTATTTTTTATTTAAAAATAAAAATATAAAATTTATACTAATACAAGTGAATCTATATTATTTTCCATTTATCTAATATAATTGTAAGTTAATGTATTGGTAACATAAACTACATTATATGTAGTTAATCTCATTTGAAACAATAAGAAGAAAACAAAAATATTGATTAATAGGATTAGTTTAATTGATAAAAATCAAGTACTCCATTTATAAGATCTATATATTTTTTTACCGTTAATAATTTATTTTACAAATAATATGTAAATCAAATGTAAATATATGTTATAGCACTTTGATGTAATAACTTCTTCCATTTAATCTTTTTTGTAAAAGAAAAATAAAAATATTAAAAAAGCAAAAACCCTTAGTCATCAAATTATTATTATTTTTTTGTTTATCGGAAAGCAAAACCCTAATACAAAGAAGAGAGATGGGGAGCTTGGTTCAAAACTAAATTTTTAATGTTTCTTCTAACACTTTTAATAATTAAGTTAAAGACTTAGAGATTAAATAAATAAAAAAACTTTAATCATCAAGTTATATATAATATCAATGTGACAAAAAAAACCAAAGTGCTTCAACACCAAGTAACCAAAAGAGCTTGCTTGGTGTTAATCAAATATAAAAAGAAAAGGAAAAAAAAAAAGGGTCAGCTGAATCATCAAGGCAATCGACTAAATTCCATAGATGTTTCCATTTCTAAATTGTTTTTCTTAAATGGGTCAATTTAAAAAACCTGACTTACAAGGCACGCCAGATCCTATGAAACTTTCTTTTGCTTTCTGTTTACGTTTTCGTTCTCAGCTCCACAGCCTCCAGCATCACTGCCCCTGCTTGGACTTAAGTGGAAATGTTAGCCATCTGATTGAGATCAGACGGTGAGATAAGCATTCAGTTATTGTCTAAAATTGTCGCTGACTTATCAATGAAAAAAAAACCACCGTCACCAGAAGGAATCTTTTTAAAAAACAGAAGAATATTCTCCAACGACTTTAAGAAAGTATTTTTTTCAGACTATATTAATAAAAATTTATAATATTAGCCATCAAGTTTACATAATTTGACGGAGAGATCTGCGGCGTCGCTCTATCGAATCCGAACCCATGTCTCACTTAACTCCCGCCTCCAAGTGTGAATCAGGTTTCGAATATGGCGCTAAAAAAGGTCGATAACGGTCAAAAAGGCAAGGCTGTCCCCGACCACTCAAAAGAGAAGCCAGGATTTCCATAAAAAATCAATATTATCTTAAAAAAAAGGTCGTTATAAAGGGACCCATTTACCGACGTGCTGAGCAGTCATCGCCGTGTCACTTCAGTTTCGCCTCGTACTTGACCCTTCGTTGTTGCAAAAGCCGCCAACTGTATTCCATTTATCTCTCGACTATTTGCCTTCCCAAATCCTACGTACTTTACACGTCAGGCAACGTGGCTCCGCTTTTGCCTTTTTTTCCCCCACTAATAACAATTTTTTTTTTGCTTTTATCGATGTGGATATCTCCGAGTTGACGTGGCCCCTACCGCCATCCTCAGTTTGGCGGGAACAGCACCAGTAGTTTGGAGGGAATATCACCGGTTTCCCGCCATACCCGAATCCGAAGCTGGTCCCCTTTGCTTTGGGAGTAGATTTTTAATTTCAAGTTTTAACCGCCAACAACTGTCCCTTTAACAGACGCCTGCTTTTGGAATGAACACCTGCCGGTTTTCGGTTCATGCAAAGCACGATTCCTTTCCACGTGGCAGCGTCGTGAGGCAAACGTGGTCCCAATATCGTGCGGCGTCCAACCTTCAACAGGAGTTTTTAGATTTGAAAATAAAGTGTAGCTCTTTTCGTCTTTTTGGGTTATTTTGGGAATAGTAAACTCTTATTGTAGAGACGGCCACGTCAGAAGCAGTGCAAGACACGGTCTAGCTAAACCGGTGAACGTGTTTTCTGACAACAGACAGTGGGGCCGTGCGTGGGTTGGGGGTCTTTGGTTATGACAGCATGGTGTTGGACATCACTTGTACGCTGAACACATTTCAATTCAGCAATTCAAAAGAATCAATTTTTTATTGATTAATTAATAATTAATAAAAAATAAAAATCCCTCTGTTTAAGGAGCATGACACAATAATTCTGAAAGCGTGCCTCTCCACCACTAAACTCATGCGCGCAGTTTTTGTGCCGTCTAACCAATTAAATGCAACCACGTGAAATTGGCCTTTATTTTTCTTTAATGGACTAATTTACCCTCTTATAGATCTCGACCGTACTAAAAGGAGGGAAAACGAGAAAGACGGACGTGGCCATTCATGGTCCGCAAATAAGGAAACATCAGAGGGTAAAACGGGATATTGAGTGGAATTATAGGCCAAAGTAAAGATAAAATATTACATTACACGGAGAAGTACCAGAAAACCGGACCAAAAAAAGTGAAAGATAAAAAGCCGATGCGAATAGCGAGCGGGGGGGTTGTTAGAAGCGATTTAGTCGAAGGAATACAAAGTGGAAGAGTTTCTAGAGTATCTGGCATTTGGCCTTGTTTGATTCAGCCAAGACCCTTGTTGGTTTCCTATGTCCTTCTACAATAAAAGGGGTTGTTTTTGAACTTGTTTCTTCAGTGATTGCTGAAGTTTTCTATCCTTTTTGTGTTCTTCAAAGAAGAAGAAGAAAGAGAAGAGAAAAATGGAGTGGCAGGCTTGTCTTGATGAATATGAGAAGCTTGTCATAAGGATGAGTACTCCCAGGTTTGTACTACTCTTCCTTTCTTCCTCTTCAAATCAAACAAAAATTAACTGAATTTTTTGTTGTAAGTCAGTGGGTTTGCAACAAAATAAGGTTGTGGGTTTTCCTGTTGATTCTGCCTTATGCCTTGAGCTTCATGGGATTTTGAGTTCCAACTCTTTTATGAGCTTTTGATTTTCTCCTTGTGTTTTGATCATATGTTTTAAGAGTCAACAATTCCTTTTTAAAATGTTTCCTTTTGCTTTCAATTTTCTTCTCATTCCTGGCTTCAAGATCTCTGCTTTGTTCTGGTTTTCATGTTTCTCTTCCCTATTAATTTGGAAAAATCTCTCCATACTTATGGAAACTAGTTAACAAAATCATTTCTAAACCTCAATGAATTGTCACAAAATTTTATTTATAATTATAATTATTACCACTTATATAATTTTCATTTTCAATTTTATAATAATTCTGGCAATGCCCCTTTTTTATCCTTCATATTTTCCAGAAGGTCTCGAAGTCTTCCTTAGACTTTTCAAAGATCTCTTTCAAAAAATTTTTCGTCCTTGTAATATTTGAAATTTGAAAAAAAAAAAAACTAAAAAATGAATTTCCCTGGCTTGACCATTCCTTGCTTTTTATCGTTTTTACAGGGTCGTGATCGACAATGCCGTTTGCCCTACAGCGACTCTTGTTAAGGTTAGCTTCCACGGAACCTCCCAAAATTTTGACTTATGTGTCTCTTGTTTTCCCCTGATTGTTCAAAGCCTTTGACTCATTCGTTCCTCTTGCTTTTATTTCTTAGGTTGATAGTGCTAGAAGACACGGAATTTTGTTAGATGCTGTTCAGGTTTTAACAGATCTGAATCTTTCAATTAAGAAGGCTTACATTTCATCTGATGGCCAGTGGTTCATGGATGGTAAGCTAAATTTACTTTAAAAAAACATGATTTTTGAGATAAAGTTTGTTCTTTTGGCATGTTACTATTTCTGGGTGGTACTTGGAATTTCTGTTACTGACATTTTCCTTTTGGGTTTTGCAGTTTTCCATGTGACTGATCTAAACGGAAACAAATTAACTGATGAGAGCGTTATTAGTTACATTGAACAGGTAGTTATTACACTTGGTTTTACTTTCTTTAATCAATGTCCTTTATATTAGCTGAATTTTTTATTTATGTTTTGTTTTATTTTTGTCTGGTTACAGTCCCTTGAGACCACTTATCCCGATAGAAGCCACGGATTTGATGGCTTAACAGCGTTGGAATTGACGGGAACAGATAGAGTTGGTCTTTTATCAGAAGTATTTGCAGTTTTAGCTGACCTGCAATGCGATGTGGTAGATGCTAAAGTATGGACACATAATGGTCGAATTGCGTCTTTAATTTATGTAAAAGACTGCAACTCGGGGTCCCCAATTGAGGATTTGCAGCAAATTGACACAATAGAAGCACGTTTAAGGAATGTTTTGAAAGGAGACAATGATATTCGCAGTGCAAAAACTTCAGTTTCTATGGCTGTAACCCACACTGAGAGAAGGTTACATCAAATGATGTTTGCAGATCGTGACTATGAAAGAAAGCCTACTTTGCAACATAGGGAGGATTCCCCTGTGGTCACCGTGCAAAATTGGGTGGAAAGGAGTTATTCGGTTGTGAATGTTCAGTGCAAGGATCGAACCAAGCTTCTGTTTGATGTTGTTTGCACATTAACAGATATGCAATATGTTGTGTTTCATGCCACCATCAACACAGCTGGGGATGAAGCATATCTGGTACTAAATTGCTTCATTACCAATCTTCTTTAAGATTTTGATTACATGACTTCAGCTTGTTGACTTAAATTTGTTTATTCTTGTTACAGGAATTCTATATTAGGCACACAGATGGAACCCCAATTAGCTCGGAACCTGAAAGACATCGTGTAATCCAATGCTTACAAGCTGCAATTGAAAGGAGAGCATCTGAGGTATATTTCAATTCCAATTCATTTCTCTAATTGACAGTTGAATCTTTGTATTTTTATCGTTTGTCAAATATTCCAAATTCTGATGCACTAGTTGTGTGATTTCAGGGTGTCAGGCTGGAGTTATGCACATCAGATAGGCAGGGTCTATTAGCAGATGTGACCCGAACATTTAGAGAAAATGGTCTTAACGTGACAAGAGCTGAAATATCAACCACAATGGACATGGCTGTAAATGTTTTTTATGTAACAGATGCAATTGGGAACCCAGCGGATCCCAAAATCATTGAAGCAGTAAGACAAAAGATTGGTTTAGGGAACTTAAAGGTGAAGGAATTGCCATTTATTTATCATCAAAAGGCAGAAAGAGAAGAGGAAGCAGTTGGGGTTGGTGGTGCGGTGTTGTTATCACTTGGGAGCCTAGTGAGAAGGAATCTGTACAATTTGGGGTTGATTAAATCCTATTCTTGAAGTGGACACTCGGGGGCAGCCATTTGGTAGGAGAAACATGCATATTGTTTGCTTCAGGTTTGGGCTTTGGCGTTTTTGTACATATGAAAAAGGTGGAATTTGGTTATAGTTGTTGTCATAGTTGGATTTGGTTGGTTGAATAGACAGATCACATAGAGAAGATTGGGTGGTAGCTCCACCGAATTTTTTTATTGACTCTCCCCCAATGCTTATTTTGCGGGAAGAATTTGAATGGGAAGAGGAAAAACAGAAGAAAAGTTAAAGAGATGTTGGTGGGGTTTGTGAATTGTGCCATAGATTTGTTGCTGGCAGAGAGAAAAAGAAGATTAGGTAGAAGAAAAATATGGTTTATTATACACAACATTTGTAAATAACGACATTTAAGTATTAATTATAATGGTTGACTTGATTTTTTTTTTGTATTCTTTTGTCTACTATTTTCTGCTTTGGTCCATGAATCTAGTGTTTTCTTGATTAATCCATCAAGATGCTTACATATAAACAAGCTGGAACCAATCAAAAGGGAACACAAATTGTAACAATGGTTGATTTTCAAGATGAGACAAAAAAATGTTTTATCTCAGCTGGATTTTGCTGATATTCACAAGTTTTAAGTTTGTATTAAGTTCGAATTTTTCCCTAAAATTTTTAATATAGACTATGAGGGAGGATTGCCTATCCACCCAAGCAACTACCTTTTTCTTTAGGTCTGTATCCAACTAACTACTTTAAACCAAGTCAAGTGGCCTAAAATTCCAAATCGAACATAAATTTAACTAGATTTAAGCTGGTACAGAGGTGTTGGGCAGCCATAAAAAGGGTAGGGAAGGTTAGGTGATTAGAATAATCTATTAGCCTAACTTTTTAAATGTGGTAGAGTTATTACAAAGTCTTCAACAGTGAAGATCCTCTGCAGTCATGGAAGAAATTTTGGTGGATGGTTAATTATGAATATCATAACGGCTTGCACCCGCTGCTGCCCTGATAACTGGACAGACAGGGTAGCCAAATGCCAATGGTTGAGTAGATTAGTGGTCCCATACCACACTTTTGAAATTTAGATGATATATTTGTCTAATAACTTCTGAAAAATCCAAATTAATCAGTTGGATAATTGAACTTTGATAATTCATCCAAAAATTGGAACTTATGGCCTACTGTAATAGTACTAGCTAACCTATGCACCAATTTAATTGAAGAAATTCGTTAATTTGAATCAAATTGACATGGAAAAGAAAGCAGTAGCCAGCGGTCCAAAAAGGCAACAACACAAGGGGAAAGTTGGCTGCTTGTCTTTTCCATGTTTTCATCTGTCCATGGCCAAAAAACAAGGGGGCAGTGGAAGGTTTCTTGGTTGTAGCTTTGGATTCAACTCCTCTTTTTTTAATCTAAAATTCCAAAATATTGCCCTCGTCCTCTCCCCTCACTACATGATTTGAAGATGCCATTTAGCTTGTTAATTGGTCAGCTTTGGTTTTGTCAGCAAATCGAAAGAGGCCACCCTATCTCATTATCTCGGTTTAATTTTAAACATGAATGTGATAAGTAAATAGATTTTCTTCTTTGGCTGTGCAAAATATATCCCATGATTAACCACAAAAAGAATATGCATTGTTACCATATTCATTCAACACACGCAAGTGGTAGAAACTAGAAAGGGAAACCATCGCCTGAAACAGCTGTGAAGAATTTGTCAGTTTCACAATTTCAAAACCAAATCAAATCTTTTGTCATCGACCCATTAATGTATGGCGTGTGAATTGTCCCTCTCCTCCTTTTTTGTTGTCAAATGAAGAAATTAGAAGAGACAAATTTCTTTATTTTCTTCACCCCAACTACAAGATATGTCTTTCGTACAGAAATCAGAATCCCTTGTGGTCCACAATGGGAATTTACATAGATTTTCGGGGTTAACAGTTAAACGCGTGAGCTTTGGGGTTTAGAAGTTAGAGCCCCGTTTGGCTCACATGCCGGCAAATGTGCCGGTTAAGGTGGTGTAGCTTAGCTGGCCCTTTTGGCTCAGGGAAGAAAGAAAGGGAAAGGGACATTGACACTGTTGGAGTCACATGTGATGGCCTGCAGCTGTCTCCCCAATATGGCCCTGCCTTTCATAGACTTGTTCTTCTGTTCTGTTGGTCTCCCTTTCAATATTTTATGAAATTTGCACATAACCCATTCTTTTTGTTGCTTTAATTTGTCCAATCCAATCCCTTACATCAATCATTTTTTTTCCACGGAGAATTTTGCTCAAGAATTATTGTGAATTCCTCCGTATGGTTTCTTTCAATTATGGAAATTCTAAAAAAGTACTGTTCATCATCAAGTATATAGCATTAAAAACTTCCGCATCTCAAAACTGTAAAAACCACACGTATACAATAGAATCTTGTTTCTCTAGCTAATGTCCTAACGTTAAAAGAAAAAATAATTGAAAATTTCACATTAATCATACAGTCTGCCAAAATCCCCAACTAAGTTTTCACAATATTAACTATGGCAACTATAAATAGTACTAGAAATTAAGTGTGCTAACCAAAGTCTTTTATGTCATCTTTATACTGTTTGTACTGTTCTTTTCATCATTTATTACAACGACAAGGATCCAGCTAAACCCGCTCATATCTCCTTCGGTTGGTGTCTAGTTAGAACAACTGCATATTTGTATCCTTTTACTACCTAGAAAAAAGACAGGAAGAAATCCAAAAGAATATAGTATACTATATTAACGTTCCAAAAATCACCTAATAAATTTTTTTTTTATTTTGAGTTTATCCGGATTTAAACCCTAATCACTGAAATTAAAAAATCAGTATTTTAACAACAGATCAATTGATAAAATAAACTAATTTCTTTAATGTAGTTTATGTTGTTTTTCCTCTTTTTCAATCATTCACTTCAAATTGCTGCAGTATCCTTTATCCAAGAATTTTTTAGAGAGACTTGACTGGATAAGATTAGCCATTTTCTTTTGTAACAATATTCTCCATAATTTTGTGCTTTAATTTGCCTATGGCTTTTCTTTAGATCGTGTTCACGTATATGGCTTTGAAGAGTTCTTGTTTATCCCACAATGTATGGACGAAAGTATTTTCAATAAAGGAGATTCTTGCCCTTTATTAACTACCTCAAAATTCTTTAATGTAATGCCACATCTCAAACAGCATTTAGCCAGCCACCATTGGATAATATTTATTAGTAAGTGGTTGAAACTTTGTTTTGCAATTAAATATTTCTTTTGATGGCATGCAGAATCAAGTACACAGTTAGCTAGGATGCCCTCATAACAATATTAACCAGCCTACATTTATAGTTTATTTCATCATCAAATTTGGGTGCCTTGAGTCCTTGGATATTTACTATATAGCTTGTTTTGTTAATATCACATTTATGGTGGCAGGGTGGCATTTATTTCCCCTTGCCTGTTCGTGTAAATGCTCTTCATGCTTTATGTCCCGGAGTGATTTATTGCCACCAGGTAAGAATCTCAACACTTACAACTCCATTGGTCTATGTTTCTAACCCTCCTAACGTAACCAATTGGGACAGTTCCACACCATTTCAGCAATAATATCCAGTAAAAGAGACACTACAGCCTAAAATAATTCTAACTACTTCAATGGCAGAGAGCTCGTCTGCACATATCATTGGGTAATACTGATAAAGATAAATGGAATAGTTGTTTCTAAAATAAATATGGAACAGAAGCTAGTTCAATATTAGTTTCAATGGCAGTTCTTAAAGTATGGATGCTAGATAGTTTATAGGCAGGGGCGGGTTTTTCTACATTAAATATTGCAAAAGGAAGACTTCTCTTCATTTGGGGAATTTTACTGGTATTTGATTACGAGCAACACTTAATTAACACCATAAATTTATTTATTTTTAATAAAAGAGATCATAACTTGGAAATAAAGAAATATGTTGTCAGAATTACTAGATGTCACTCTTAAAGTTAATTAGATAAATTAAATGAAATAATCCGAATTCAACACCATAAATTTATATGACAAAGCAAGTTTAATATTGTGAAAATATGCTAACTAGAGATGAGATATAAGCCTGCTTATCCTAATTATTCTTCCGATACGAATTCAATTAGGGTTTTTGAATTCCAAGTGGATTAAGATTTTTTAAAATTTTACCAACTAAGATTTCTTTGTCAGGAAAAGAAAAAATAACAAATTAAGGTCAACAACCATATCAGCTACATTATAATTTGCTGAGAAATTCTGGAAGTCAAATCACATTGTTAATTATCTGTTAAAGTGCTTGAAAGTTACTGCGTATGATAACTGCTCACAGTCTTGGCAGGTGGTTACCTTTGAAAATAAAGTTGATTAGCATTAGTTGACCCCTTAAAGCTTACAAATATGAACAAGATAATGAGCCACGAGGACAAGACATTTAGGGTTAATGACAATGTTAGACTCTGAAGGATCAATGTTTTTTTTCTTGTTAATTCCCTAACTGTGATTACACGCATCACATAGACAAGACAAGTGTATTCACATAGTTCCCATTTTATTGGATGTCTCAATATAACCACAATGACAACCATAAATTCTATGTTAATTTTTAACATTTTTCTACCGGATTTTGACCAAAGAATGGAACTGGGGACACAAGGTCCAAGGAGGGAATCGTGGCTGTTGACAGCAAACTTGCTATCTCTATTCTGATTGTAATCAACATCTGCAGGATGCTTGCATTTGGCCTTTTCCAGTTGTAATATTAGTTCGGGCATAGTTGAATTTTCCAACTGAAACAAATTCCAATACAGCAAGATTTAATTAATCGAATATTTCCCGCGGATGATTAATCAGATACGTAGATTTTGGAGAAAGAAGATTCGGACCAAAGCTTTGGATTATGCTATTAAATTTGCTACTTGTCAAATGGATTGTCTTGCAATGTCTTTTATATAAAAACAGGAATCATGAAAATGATCGGACAAGTTGGTTCCCCCAATGTTACATTCTTCGTGTCTGGTCTTATCAAATTTAGAACTACTTGTCATTCCAAATGTACATGCAACATGATCCATGTCTTTGGGCCAAAACCAATCCTCTTTCATCATTTCTTAGTTCTTATGAATTCTAATCATATTGCTAAAAATGGTACTATTTGTTCGTTTAATTTCTATTGAAAGAATGCGTTTTATTTTATACAGGAAAACTATTAGGAGATGGAATTCTAATTGTTGAAAAGAGGAAGAAATGGAGCCCCTAATTACACTGTACAACAAAGTACCAAAGCTCAAGGATCTTTTCTTCGGCCTGAACCTATTTTATGGGGTTCTTAGCAAGGTTGCTTCTGGGGCAATTGGGCTATAACTGGCAACAAATCAACCCATTTGAAATTCTGTTGGTTGGTCTGAGATTAGGCCTGAAATTTCAATCTGAATATACGAGATTAATGCAGCACTGTTGTCTATGTTGAGAAATGAAAACACTTGTCATGATCCACAAGCATATCCCAGTTCTGAAATCTGGGTATCTCTCCAAGGTTGGAAAAGGGGCAAGAACATGTCAGATTTAGAAAGCCATAGCCCATAACTAAGCTGGTTAGGCCACTTTTACACAGGGCCTGCCGATATAAATGCTTCGGATTTTGTTAGATAATAGTAAGTGATATCGAGCCACGACTTATCGACCATCAATCCATCGCGGCTGCCATAACCAAAATTATTTGCTTCATCACCGAAATTCCAAGGGGATCTTTTCTAGTAAACTAAACATTCTTGTCTATTTAATTTGTAACATCTTAAGACATTTTTATCATGTGTTGTTCAGATTTAATTCCTCCAATAGATGAAACGTGTCGGGTTTTAGAATTGGCCGTTTAAAATGGGAACTTGGGGCTAGTGTAAACATTTCCCGGATCAAGAAACTGAAACGTAGAAGGGAAGGAAGGAACCCTTGGAATTTAGAACGCTCACCTCCTATTTTTGACCCTCTATTGATTTTGACTCTTACCAGAAATACCAACGCACCTAGATTTTGTGTTTTTAGTTCTGCATGGCTAAAATAGATTCTAGTTTTTTTTTTTTTATTCCTTTTTTTTTTAATATTTATCAATAAAATAATTTACAAATTTTTTTTAATTTTTTGAATTTATAAATCATATTCTAATAAAAAAAATCGTAAAAATTTAAAATTTGATGTTTTATATCAAAACTTTAAATCTTAACAATTTACACCAAACCTCTATTTAAAGAAAAAAAAAATTTTTCTATTACTCACTTATATACTGGGGTCGGACAACATAAACTCCAACCCAATTAAGAATCTAAAATTGTACAAGGACCCATCTGTTCATCTGTCACTTTGACTCATTTTCCACTTATCTTGACTGCTCTTCCATTCCAACTTAACTGCCGTTTCATTTGGAACCTGGCTTAAGTAAAACATCCATGTTCCATTCTGTACGCAAGATTGTTGTGTTCATATTAGCACTTTGTATGAGTTTCTTTTTTTTTTCGTTAATGAAAAATTCCAACTCAATTTTTTAAATATTGAAATATATTGGCATAAATTTCTTTTATTTTAAAATTTTACAAACTTATTGTATGATTACAACTTGCTATAATTTACTCTAAAAAGTTAAAAAAAATGATTCCTTAAAAAATATGATAAAGAAATCGATTCTTTTTAAGTAAAATTTTAATTTTAAATTTTATAAATAAAAAAATAAATTTAAAAGAATTTACTCTCTTAAAAATTTAATTTAACTTGATTTTAAATTAATCTGAATGCAAAGAAACTTTCAAACATCGAAGGTTTTTAAATTAAAAAAAATAATTTTATAAAAAACCTTTAGATGTATGGTCAATTTTGCTCTTTTGATTCAACAATAACAAAATTTTAAAAATATTTTTAAGATAAGAAAAAAAAAGTCATTAGCAAATGATATTCAATTAAGTTAAATTGAAGAATCATATGAAAAGAAAAAAAAAAAAGGGGGCTATCAAGTAGCCATGTTCTCAACTAAACTTTATGGGAACGCCGGCAATTAACATTTCTTGATTAGAAAAATATTAAGCAAAGCTAGCAAATATTAACAAATAAAATAAAATAAAAAATATAATAATAAAATATTCTAATATTAATTTTCAGCCTTGCCCATGAGATTCCAATTTTCCACTCCCTGACATAGACATGCAATATGAACACCACTTATCTTTAACCTCAACAAGTGTTAATTTTTTTTATGAAAAATTCTCAATTAATTATTCTCATTTTCCCCTTTCAATGATATTGAAATTAAAAAAAAAAAAAGTTAGGTTTGATTACCGACCATAAAAATTAAATAAATTTAAGATGTTTGTGAATTCCACAATTGTATTCAAATAATAATAATAATTGTCATTATTAATAAATTAAAAAATAAAAGGTGTGGATGTTAATGTTCATCGAGCTCATCGCCAATATTTATAAAATTTTTGAAATTAATTAAATATTAATAGTAAGTTTGTTCTTATCTTAATCTAATTTCTTTAATATTATTTTCTTGTTTTTGGTAACTTACCTTTCAAATTTGTTAATATTTAAAACTGAAATTAATTGCAATTTTTTTTTTGGTCAATGCTTGTGGTCCATCCATAATCACAATATTAAAATAAATTTTTTATTGAATTATGATTACTTCCATTTTCCATAAACTTTTTTTAAAATATTTTATTGGGAAAATTTTTATTATTATTATTTTCTCTCTCATCTTCTTTTATTAGAGCTGTTGGATTTGATTTGAATATTTCACAAGAAAAGTTCTGCCCTTTTTTTTTAATGGTTTTCTTTTTGAAAAGAGATATTTGGCCTAGCCGTTACACCTCACGTATTTGTTGGGCATAACGTGTTAATGATTTTTTTATTCGAAAAAAATACTATTTTATTTATAAAGTTTATATCCTTACTAATAAATTGATAGGTTTTATAATAAAATTTTAATATTTATTTGTTAAACCTACCACAAAATATTAAAATTAAAAAAAATTCCCTTAAATATGGGGAAAAAAAATTAAGAGACCCATATTGTTGAAAAATATCAAATATTATATATATATATATAAATATGTATATTTGTCTCGATGTATTTTTCACGAGTTAAATTTATTTTAAATATAATTAATAATTTATGTATTCGTATCATATAAAATATTAAAATATTATATTTTATATAAAAATAAGCATGAAATACATATTTTTTAATTTTGTTAAAATTTTTTATAATTTTTATTAAAATTTTAAATTATATTATTTTTATTTTTTTATCTGTTATTATATCATATTTAAAATTGATAATTTTAATTTTTAAAAAAATGAATATGTTTTAGATTTATTTTAAAATTTTTATCACAAATTCTCTATTTTTTATATTTAAAATGATTAAAATTAAAATTTTAATATTTTATGTTTAGTTCACGTGATTGTTGATAATTCTTCAATTTCTTTGTCTCTTTCCTTTCAAATTGACCAAACAAAAATACAAAATTAAATTATATATGTAATTTAATATGATAACAATATTGTTATTATTATATAATATTACAACCCATGAGTAAAATTATTTACATCAGGTAAGCGGGAACATGATATCAGCTAATATATTGATATTATCATGCCTTCGAGAGTCACTTTACAGATTTCACATGGGGCTAGGGTGATGTTGGTTTGGTGAGACAATTAATAATTAAATATACTTATTTTATGAAATATGAATGAAACAGAGGAGTTTAGCACTGCAATTTTTGGGTCTCATGTTTTTATTTTTGGATGTTAGCTCAAGTTATTAGAAATTTTTTTTTTTTTGAGTTTAAATTTGTTTGAGAAATTGTAAAAAAATATTTATTATAAATTTATTTAAATTTATTTTAAATATATATATTTATTGAAGGAAGTAAGAAAAGTTTTAGGTCTAGTGGAGATTTTCAATCTCATCGTTGCTCATTTATTCCAAGTATATCCTTACTTTTTTTTTTTTATTACTTTTGAAGGTATAATGGAAGGACAAAAATATCTTTGATACTTAGTTTTTTTTTTTTATTTAAAAAATTTTATTAATTCAAAATAATGAAAATTTATTATTATAATAAACTAATAAATAAAAATATTTTGTAATTAAATAAATAATTAAAATAAATAATTACATAAATAATAAAATAAATATTATCAAATTTTAATTTAATATGAATAAATAATTTTAATCTAATAAACATTAGACATTAATCTAATATCTTTGATAATTTATTATTATTATTATTTATTAAAATATAATTTTTTTATTAATTTTAATTTTATTATTATAATAATTAATCTCATTTTTATCGAAATTCATTCATATGTATCCAAAAAAAAAAAAAAACGATCGCTTTTTACTCAATTAATGGAATGCTCTATTTCTTATCGTTATTTTTTTTTTTCTGGTAGTCACTCAGTTTTATTTTTCCAATGATTTTATCATTCGCTAAGTGGCAAAAGTTTATATTACAATGACTTTTGCTTCTTTTTTTTTTTTATACATAAAAAATGTAATGGAAAGAAAATAATTTGAAATTGGAAATATGTTTTTTTTTTTAATTTCAAAATTTTTAATGTGTTTGTAATTTTTTTTTCCCTTCTTTTACGTAAGGCAACACATTATAGCTTTGCCTTAGCCCACCCCTCCAATTTTTTTTTTTCATTTTCTAGACAATTTCTTCAAGCCTTGGCAACCTAATTTTACTTGGCATTCACTCAAAATAAAAAGAAAATAATTAACTATTTTTTTAGTATATTTTAAATAAAATATACCCCACTTTCATTATCGCTTTAAAAAGAAAAAAAAAAAAAGAGAAAAGAAAAAATCATCGACCCACTTTTTTATAATTTCTTTTAATTTTTAATTTATCAGATTCCAATCAAACACAAATATCAATATCTTTATATAATAAAATAATTAATTAATACAAAATAATAATATTTCATTAAAGCCCCCATTTTTGAATAATTTTCTTTTCCAGTATTTTATTATATTAATCTTAAATTTAGACAAGATTAAAGAAAAGTTAGGAACCTAAATTAGCCTGTTCAACAACAAAAACAAAACCCCTCTTTATTCTCATCATTTTTCTTTTTTCAAAATAAATTTTTTTTTCACAGACAGCTTAAAATCAAAATCTTTTTATTTTTTTTCTTCTCAAATCTCATTCTATCTTCCAAAAATAATTTACAAAATTTAAAAAAAAAATTAGACACCTTCCATAATCTCTGTTTCAATTTAACTGAAAAAAAAAAATCTTTTAGTTACGAAATCAACTCCAAAACTTGTACCAAAAACTTAATCTTTTCCTGGTTTGAACTTAAAAGCTCTGTTCTTTCTACTTTGTTTTTTTCCTTAAAAATTTTAAACTTGTTTTTTAGTTGTTTGAGCTTAAAACCCAAATGAGTTTTTGATAAAACCTCAAAAAAAATATTTTTTTTCTTTATAAAGGTTTAAGTGTTAACTATGGAGTCAAGAGAAGCTGTTACCGGTACTACTACCGCCGCTGTTACTGGTACTACTACTGCCACTGCCACTGGTGGGGTTACGGTGGTAGGATCCGATGCTCCGTCGGACTACCACATAGCTCCAAGGTCCGAAAACTCGACCCAGAACCCGAACCCGACTCCGGGATCTGGTCAGCCGCAGCAGCCTCCTCCGCAAACGGTGGCGCAACCAGTACCTCCGCCGGTTTTGGTGGCGGGGATGCCGGTGAAGAAGAAGAGGGGAAGGCCTAGAAAATATGGACCGGATGGTTCACTCACTATGGCGCTCTCTCCAAAGCCTATATCGACGGCTGCGCCGCCTCCGGTGATCGACTTCTCCGTCGGGAAGAGAGGGAAAGTGAAGTCGCCGACGTCGGTTTCCAAGGCTAAGTACGAGTTGGAGAATTTAGGTGAGAAACAATTAACCATTTTGGTGAATACGCCTTTTGAGTTTCAAGTGATTTGGTGGTTGTTTCCATGTTAAAAGTTGGATTCTTTTGTGTTCATGGTGATGGTTGTTTCGCTTTGTTTGAGTTGTTTGAAAGTGTTTTAGTTTATAGGGAGAAAAGGGTTGAGGGGGGGGGGGTGTTGAGTTTTAAGCGTGTGATAGTGTTGGGTAGATGTGGGACCTGAGAGCTGTGACTAGATGCCCCTAGTTGAGAGATCTCTCGATAAGTGTGTGTGGTAGTTTTGGAAGGATGGTGAGAGTTTTTATGGGTTGGTAATGTAGGAATGATGGAATCTTATTGTTGATTGTCCTTTGGCTTTGCCACTTGGCATGCTTTATTGGAAGAAAATTTTTTGGAAGTTACCTGCTTTGTGGCACCTGCTCAAGTCTGCCAAGTGATGGTGAAGAGACCTGGATATGAAACCTGTCTGCCATTTGCTGTCTGATCTTATTACCATATGGAGGAGAAGGAAGTTGCTTTTATGTGCTTTGTGTTATTGAGTTTTGATTTACGTTCTTGGTTTCTTGGAATAATAACTCGTATGCTTTTGATATTTTGTGGCTATATTTCAGTTGTGTGATTCTTTCTACCATTTGGGTTGAATAATATTCCAGTTTGCTTTATGCTGTTTTTGCAATTGTCTCTATGTTGTGGAAAATCTCTTGCAGAGAGAAAACTCCTATATCCAGTTGCTGATTTTGTAAGACTATCTCCTTGCAGGTGAATGGGTTGCATGCTCTGTTGGTGCTAATTTTACGCCGCATATCATCACTGTTAATGCTGGTGAGGTATGTTGAAAACATAACTGTTATTTTGAAGTGTACTTACATTCTGTATTAAGGTTATGGGGTATTATTATATTTGGCATGAATGCAAAAGCTTCATAATTTCATTGCCGAAATTATATGGTTTGAGGATACTGTGAGTTTCATTCTGATGTTTAGACAATATAAGAACAAACTTGTTAATTTAGTACATCGGTGGCTTTCTTTTTGGTGTTTTAGGACGTAACGATGAAGATTATATCATTTTCTCAACAAGGGCCTCGAGCTATATGCATTCTCTCTGCAAATGGGTTGATCTCAAGTGTCACCCTTAGGCAACCTGATTCTTCTGGGGGTACATTGACATATGAGGTAATGTTCCATTTCGCTTTAATTATAGACTGCTTATGATGAAACTTTTGAATTATATGGGTATTAGCATGGATACTCATTCTATACTTGTGCCTTTACAGTTCATTCCTTTTGAAAGTTTAATTCTCTATGAAAACGTAAAATTTTTTCATAGTTTAATCCTTAACACTTTAAAGCATGAAGACTGAATTTCTTGTGTTTCTAAAAATTTACTCGATCAACAGTTGTGAGCTGTTGCATGAACATTGTACTGACCCGCGTGTGATGTGCACTGTGCGCATAAGTAATTTGTTGTAGTTATGGCATGCACTTTTTCTTTTCCATATATATTATTTTTGGAGTTAAATGGTCATCTGAGCATTCCCTTTTTAGATATTGAATGTATTTAAAATATAATATCCTTTTGAAGTTGCAACATGGCCTCCTCTTCATAATAATTCTAGATTTTCAACTCTAATGTTCATCAATCCTATTTTTTTAAATTAGAACTGTCTTATCTACATAGGGAACATGAAATTGGTATTTGAATTTTTGGTTGTTACCTAGAAATGTGGAATTAACAGAAATAAAAAGTAGCAACATGTTGAAGCAACAATTGATGTTTTTGTCTATATACAGCTTGAAAATAAATTGCTTGATCTTTTTCTTTTTGCTAGAGAAAAACACTGCATAATGAGAGATCAAGAAACCATTTCCTGCTCTATTAGATGTTGATATTATACTTGGCATTGTGATCTGTGCAAGTAAAAATTATATATATTCGCTACTTCTATTTAAGATAACTTTGGAGCTGACCTGTGTTTCTTGCAATGACCATTGAAATGACAACTTTTTTATTTTTCGGCAAATATGATGCTCTATAACTGTTAGTTAGAATATTAGAATAATTGGTTCAAGATATTTGGCTTAAAATCAAAGGACAAAGTAATCCTTTTCTGGTAAACAGTGTGAAATGTTTTAGTGTGAGTTGTAGGAAGCAATGATAGGGTTGTTCTGCTTCTACTTAGGCTTTATTAGTACAGTTTTCTTCAACTGTGAGAGTCTTAGCCATTAAAAATGAGAAGAATTAGGAGTAAAGTAACTATTGACCAATGACTGTGGCTAAACGAGGTATTTGGAGTTAGTGGCAGCCTGAAGAAAATGCATGTTGACTGGAATATATCGTTGATCCTATAGCGTTTATAGACTTTCCTTAATCTGCCTATTTCTGGGGTGAAGTTTTACTTTGTTTATTTTATCCTTCATCAGCAGACATCCCATCTCTTCTCAAATTTCTTGCAGGGTCGTTTTGAGATACTGTCCTTGTCTGGTTCATTCATGCCCAATGACAGTGGAGGAACAAGAAGCAGATCTGGTGGGATGAGTGTTTCATTGGCAAGTCCAGATGGGCGCGTGTTAGGTGGTGGAGTTGCTGGTCTGCTAGTAGCTGCTGGCCCTGTGCAGGTTTGGCTTCTGTTTTGTCAGTGCCATCCTCTTCCCTGTTTTTCTTCTCCCTATCTCCCTCTGTTGTTTCTCTCTCTTACTGGGTTTTCACAGCTTCCCTTCAATCAAATGATTACCTCAAACCCTGGTGAAGACAAAGCTTCTAAATTTCTTACTTTCTGTTGTTTTGAACCAGGTTGTAGTGGGCAGTTTTCTGGCAGGGAACCAGCATGAGCAGAAGCCTAAGAAACAGAAGCACGAGTCTATGTCAACTACAACACCAATGGCTGTCATTCCCGTTTCTAGTGCCGAACCAAAACTAAACATCTACTCATCCTTCCGCGGCGATAGTTGGTCTTCGTTGCCGTCAGATTCAAGGAATAAGCCCACTGACATTAATGTATCTTTGCCTGGAAGCTAATCCAAATTTCCTTATCATGCAGTATAAGGCTTGATACTGACAGCACTCGCAATCAAAGTACAACTAATGAATCTCATTCTCACCTTTGTTGTTGTTTTATGTGTAAGCTTATTGACTTATCACAAAGTACTGGCATGTTCATTTTCACCTGGGGTTTTTTTGACCCTATTTTTTTTCATCAGTAGCTCAGTTAGTCACCTGATCAGATAGGCTTCAGCCGCTGTCGTGTTATGCAGAATACTTTGTAACGTTTATTGAGAGCATTGGCCTTTCTTCCAAGTGATGGATTGTGATTTAGAAAACCAGTATCTTTTGAACATCTCATGTTTATTGCTATTGGCTTGTTTATGTAGCGTCAATTCAGTTTTATTATTGGTCCAGATATAACAATAATAATAATAAAAAGGGCTTTCATCCATCCACCCATATTTGCTACAAAATCTTCACATGATTAGCTTGTATTCATAATGTTAACTCTGTAGGAAAGCTTCATCAGGATCATTAACATACGACACTTAAGAAACATACGAAACATACGAAAATTTATTACAGATATCAGTCATTTGGTGAAGAAACAACAAAAGGACACTAACAAAGGCCGGTTCATTCCTTGATACGACGAGGTCTGACGATACGATCAATGAGCCCATAATCAACAGCCTCTTGAGCTGTGAAGCGTTTAACCTTAGATATGTCCTGTTTAATCTGCATGTGCACATTTGTTATTAATTCTGTTTCGACACATAAAACAGTCAGGAAAACGAGAAACAAATGAAATTTCTGCAAGGCGGGCAAATATAAATTCGAAAGGCATATTTCTCGTGAATGTTTTTGTTTAACCACTGTCCAATAGCTGTTTAGATCTAAAGCACAAAAGGGGAAGCAGGCAATACTCAAAATGAATCAAACAGAGAAATTATACTAATTCACTTTTGAGCTTGAGCTTTTAACATACTCACCTTCTCAAAAGACTGGCCCGTGTTCTTAGCTAGCTCACTGTAAAGGTAATCTCTGACTTTAAGAAGCTCGTTTGCTTCATTACTGATATCATCAGCCTGTCAAACATTTGATAATTTCATGATCATCACAATCATAACATTAAAAAGTATAATATAATTTGCCATGACATCCTGCAGTCATACCTGACCACGAGCTGCACCAGCTGGAGGCTCCAGAGAAATTCTTGAAAGAGGCATTGCAGAGCGGTAACCCTTCATTTAGCATAGCAGAAAACAAGAAGAGAATGTTTTCAATTTTCAGCTCTAAATAACAGCTGCATCACATAAGGCATAAAATAAAAATTCACAATCCAGTGGTAGGCTACAGGACAGAAATGATGCACCTATCATGAGTTAGAAAAGCATTTTCTGGTTGCTAACTTTACATTCAAACCAGCGTTAAAGAACATTTTGAGAATCACTACATAGTCAGCATAACACAAAAAAGTTAGTGTAACTTTTAAAATTTTGAGGAACAACTTCATGCATCATTCCACAATAATTTATAGCATTCACTTACAGGAATAACACCACAAAGTTTATAGATTTAGATGGAAGAGAAGAGAAACATTACCTTTTCCCCAGCTGCAAGAAGGAAGCTTGCTAGATTGAAGGCATAGCCTAAACAGTGGGTGCCGATAGGAGTCTTCAAGCTTTTCACGGTGTCATAGAGAGACAAGCTTGGATAAATCTGAAAGCAGAGCCAGTCCATATCAGATAGTGACCAGAGACAAGAAACTAGAAATTTAAATATATATAGATCAGCAAAAGCTTTAAATTAAAAAAAAAAAAAAGAAACCTTACATCTCCGCCAGGACCATTAATGTACAAGTAAAGCCTGTTATTGTTATCAATAGAATCAAGGTATAACATTGTTGCCAATACTTGGTTGCTAAATTCCTCATCTATATGCTCTGTAATGAAGACAACTCGCTCTCGATACTGCATCCAAAGTACAAGAAAACAAAAGATTCATGCAATAATCAAAATCTAGTACAGATGCCAAAGGTAAATCCATAACAGGTTATTAAACCACTTTTGCAAACTGAAAGCAATTAATATAACAGCAGGACAGTAAAACAAGGTTGACAAGAGTAGAAAGAGCGTACATTGGAATCATCTCCTACATAATATGACCCAAAACAGTATGCATGTTAAAATCTGTAAAGTTTTTAACTAGGATCTCCATTCTTATAATGTAAAATTATTTAAGATTGCTTACTAGGGCATTCCATATATCAACCCACTGCCAAGTTTCTTGACCAGGGGCTCTATAGGGAACTTTGGGAGTTCCCATAGGCATCATCACAACTCGTTCCATTGTTGGATTACAGTTTCGTCTTCTGCGTACAAAGGAACACACAACAGTCAAGAGATGCGAAGAACTAAACCTCTCCATTTTCCATGAAAAAAAAGTAACTAGATTATAACAACAAACAGGCAGGTGTAGCAAATAAATAATGTGTTGTCAAACATGCTAAAATGCTTCAAGGAGCAAGCTTTTAATCAAACTTATCAAACATAATCCTTAAAAGATGCTCTTTTTCTTTTCCTTGGAAACAAAAATAAATTTCACATACAAATTTTACTCCCAAGAAGCACACTGTGTAAAATCCAAAATTCAAATTTATAAACTGCAAAATTGCTCTAGAGAGTCCCATAATCAAACTAAATAGGAACAACTCCAAATCTCCAATCACAAGCCAATGTTTCGAAACTAGCCTCTAAAGTCTAAATCCATTAAGCAAGATTAAGCTAATAGTAACAGATAAATAATAACAATCGAAACTACAGACAAATACTATAAACAAACAATTACCCGCGTTGGAGGCTCTTATTAACTCTGCTAAAGAAGTCTGCATTTAAGCTTGGTTTCCCAGTCGCAAACAAACCTTTTAAAAATGAAAATTTAGCAAAAAAAAAAAAGGGAAAAAATCAGAATTTAGGGTAGATAAAAAAAATTGGAAGCAGATTATAGAGTGAAGAATACGAACATACAGGGAGATTGAAGCTTCAACCCAGCGTAAATCTTAGTCCCACAACTGCAAAACAAGAAAAGAAGAAAATACAAAATACACATTTCATAACGTAAAAAATACACCATACATGTATTATACAGAGGAAGAAAGAGAACCTGAGAGAGCGATGTTGAAGATTTGTATTAAGTGAGGTTGCCATTGTTTTTGGGGTTTGAAGAATAAGATAAGAGTTTTATTAGGATTTAGGAAGAGGAATGGGAAGAGGCTTGAGATAGGGTTGGAAGACAGCAAAGATCTGATGGAGCCGTTTTTATCGTAGATATGTTCGTGAACAAATCTCTGCCTGTTGGATTAGATTTAGATTAAAAAAATAATGCAAACGGGACCACCAGATAGCTGCCTTTTGTAGAACGACAGAGATGTTCGTACTAGCTCGTTTTCGTTTACGAGAAAAACGTAAGCGTTGAGCTCGAACACCATTAGCTGTATTTTTTTTCTTTTTTTCTAGAATGTTAAAATTTTTTCATTTGAACCAAGTTAGAGTACCCAGCAGTCACTGTGATCCAAGTAACATTATTTCTTGGGTATATTATATAATTATATTCTAAAATTTAACGCGATTTGAATTTATCACATGAAATTTAAAAATAAAATTTAATCATTTTAAATTATGTATCCATACAACTTTGTTAGTTTTCTTTGAACACTGTCTATAATAAAGTGACAAGAGTATCCTTATTGCTACAAATTTGATCTTCATGCATTTGAAACAAAAAGCATAATTTTGTTACTTATAATCCAATCATCTAATTTAAAAATGATCAAAAGTTTTCATCCAAGATTCAAACCAAAAAACCTTTCAATTTTGATTAAAAGGAGTTTTTTGAGGTAAAGTTTAAGCAAAAAGTAATAGAAAATCGTTGAAAAGGCAATGGTCGAAGCACTTTGGGTGCCATTAAGCAAAAAAGTGATAAGGCATAATTACTTTGTATTGAGTAAATTTTTATAATCTAACAAAGTATATATGATTCTCACTTTCATTTCATTAAAGTTGGTTGAAATATTTTGTTTAGGGTTTATTAAATTTAAAAACTTTAGGATTTTTTTTATTTTGAATAACTAAATTATAGATATGTTGTACAGTTTTTATACATGGGTTATTTTAGTTAAGTTTAGAGTCTTTTATGATCACAATATCTTAGTACATCACGATACAATAGTTTCATTAATGCTACATTGTGGGTAATAGTTTAACATTCATGTGAAAACTATAGATTTTTGCACTCTAAAATTAGGAATATTCTGGTTTGCCTAAGGAAGGGGATGATAATAACTATGGGTAGTGTTGCATTTCAAATTTTTTACTGCCAATAATGTTTAAATATACATTTTTGAAATAGACTTCAAAATTTGTTTTTGCAAATGTGGAATGAGAATAAAAACACTTAAATTTTATCATGGTGGATCATTTATCTGAATTCTTCATAAGGTCTAAGTAGGAAGGGATGTTGCATAGGTTGATAATTTTCCCTAAACTGATTATCATATATTCAAGTGCAAAAATGGGTTATAAAATCAGGCTATAAATCCATTAGGGAAATGTATTATTGTGTTTCTAAGCTATCTTTGGATGATGGATTAAAATAAATTTGTTCAGATAGAGATATTAAAGCTATGGCTTGTAGTCATAACAACAAAAGAATAATCCCAATTTATGTTGTAGCTTGTACACCTCATTTTTTTGTTGTTTATCCATGTACACCATGTGTGAATAAAAAAGATGTAAAAAAAGGTCAACCTAGTGTTGTTAATTTGGATGAAAGTAATGAAGTTGAAAATGTTGATAAGAAAATTGGAAATGTAGATGAGGAAGATGAGGTTAATAAAAGAAGTGATGAGGTTAGTGTACACAGTGATGAAGATAGTAATAAAGATGATAGTGATTATCAAGTAAACAGTAATGGTTATTCTAGCAGTGACTCTAGTTGGTTGAATGAAGGGTTTTCATAATCTCATGATATTTTTTAGGATGAAGAAGTTGTTGGTGATTTTAACCAAAGGGAAAGGGAAAATGCTAATATTAGAGAACCTAGTCTAGATCTAGTGGTTCAAAGTAATGATGTAAATGAGGAGTTTAGGGATAATGTGGTAAAAGATGGTGATTTACACAGTGTTCATGAATCTAATGATAAGGGAAAGCAATATATTGTGTTTAATGAAGAGGTTGATATGAAAAATCTAGAGTTAAAAGTTGGAATAAACTTTATTAGTGCCTATGTTTATAAAAGGGCACTGAATGAGTATTGTGTGAGCAGAGGCTTTGACTATAAGTTCAAAATAAAAGATGGGAGAAGATTACTACTTCATGTGTTATGGATTGTGAATGAAGGATATATGCTTCTAAGATGAGGAAAGATCGAAGCTTTCAAATCAAGACTTTTAATGAAGCATAATTATCGAAGGGAGTTCAAGATTAACCAGTTTACTGTACTTTATTTGGCTGAAAAATTTTGTAATGACTTAAAAGATAATCCTAATTGGAAAACTTAAAAGAGTAAGATAAAAATGTCTAGAAAGTTGAAAGTTGATGTATTTATTTCTCAGGTGCATAGAGCTAAAAGAAAAGCTAAAAAAATGATAGAAGGGAATATAAAGTTGCAATATTTTAAATTATGGGATTACTGTGACATGATTCAATAGACAAATCCAGGGAGCTCTATGTCATAACGTATAGATCTGTGAACTTACCGCTAGACTTGGAATGAAAAGAAGTCACCACCAATATTTTTTGATTAGGTGTGATTGGCCACTTGATTGAATTTGATATGCAAAACAGATGTTAGGTTCGAAAGTCGATTATGCATAGGAAAGGTTGTAGCACCCCCAAAATGCTCATTCAAGGGATGGTACTAGTTTGATTTCGAATTATCTAAGCCTTACTCATTTTTATAATTTACCAGATAATTTATGAATTTTATTAGAACAATAAAACCTTTTCAAAATTTTTATTCATTTATTTATTATTTTGAAAACATTATTTTCAAAAAAAAAAATTTGAAAAAATTTTTTTAAATATATTTTTCAAAAAAAGATATTAGTGGCAAAAGTAATTTTTTTAGTTCATTTGTGTTTTTAAAAAAAGAAAATAATAAAATAAAATAAAAATGGGTTAGAAATAAAATAAAATCAAATAAAAAAAAATAAAAATGAAAAAAAAAACCCACGATCAGGTCGGGTCAAGACGCGGGTCAGTGCGTGAGTTTTTGAGTCGACGAGTGGATCCTAGGCGATCAAAATGATGTCATGTAGAGGTGGTATATAAGGCACTCTTCAGTTTTTTTTCCTCAGAACTCCAGAGCCTTTCTCTCTCTACACCCCAAAACCTCTGACCTCTTTCTAGAAAGTCCACTGAAAAATTTAATTAAAAATTGAAAACCCCACCTATTTCTAGAAATTTCGTCAAAAAATTCAATCAAAAATTGAAAACCCATCGGTTTCTGAAAAACCTGTCGGATTCTAAAAATCTCGTCGGAATCTTGTTGGAAACTTCAACCTTCGCTGAAAAATTTCATCAAAAAATTCAAAGTTCTTTAGAAAACCCAAAAAAACCCAAAAAATTTTTTAAAAAATTCTTAGATCATCCTAAGACTTCCCTAAACCTTCTACAATCCTAAATTCACCTCCAGAAACCTGAATTCACTCCCAGAACCATAAATTAACCTCAAAATCCCAAGATCAAATTCTAAAACCCTTTTTGCCCAAGAATTTCTTAAACCTACTTTCAATGATTTTCACTCTGTTTTTCTGTGTCTCTCGATGTGTTCTTATTCTGTAGAATTAGTCCAATTTATAGGCAGCCTAGGATCAATTCAAGAAACGAACATAATCAATCCCAGGCTTGATTCCTGGGATTGCATTATGTCCAGATAAGATTTTAAGGCCAAAATTTCAACAGTTGTATTAATTTGATTCTGTGTTGACCAAAAGGATTTCGATCCTGATTTTCTCATACAGGTTGAATCAAAAGGAAAGCATAAAAAAAAGAAACAAAAAAAATAAAAATAAAGATAATAATAATAATATAATAATATAAAAATAAAAAATAAAAATAGTAATAATAATAATAATGATAATGAAAGTATCTACTTGGACCAAAATGGGCTATAATAGACCTAACCAAAATAGGCTAGACCAAAATGGTCCTAGTTAAGCCCAGTTGAAGATGGCCTAATCGGGCTTGGATCAAAATGGGTCTAGTTGAGTCCGGATCAAAATGGGCCTAATTGGATCCGGACCAAAATAGGTGTCTACAACTGTCTTTTTTTGCATATCTTTGTTAGACAAAGATGTTACAAAGACTCAGACACCCACTCTGGTCTCGAATTTAAAAAATGACATGGACTGAACCAAGGTTGAGTGATTGAGACTAAACCACGAGTCAAGAGAGGCAACTAGAATCGATTTGAGGTAAAAAATAAATGATCGAGATGAAACCACGAATCATAAGCAATGATCTAGACTGAGTCAAGATAAAATGATCAGGACAAAATCACAAGTCAAAATAAAACGACTAAGATCGAGTTAAAATTGAGAATAAATGATCGAGACGGAACCACGAATCATAAAAAATGATTTGGACTGAGCCAAGATCAAACAACTGAGACAAAATTATGAGTCAAATGAGATGACCAGGACCAAGTCGAGGTCAAAAATAAATAATCAGAAAGGAATCATGAATCATAAAAAATGATCTAGACTGAGCCAAAATCAAGCAACCGAGATAAAATTATGAATCAAATGAGGTGACCAAGATCGAGTCGAGGTCGAGAATAAATGATTGGGATAAAATCATGAATCATAAGGAATGATCTGGACTGAGCCAAGATCAAGCGACTGGGATAAAACCACGAGTCAAATGAGACAACCAAGATCGAATCGAGGTTGAAAATAAATAATCAAGATGAAACCATGAATCAATAGAGATGATCTAGACTAAGCCAAGATCAAGTAATCGAGGCGAAATCACAAGCCAAAATAAAGCGACCAGGACTGAGTCAAGATCAAGTGATCGGGACGAAACCACAAATCATAAGAAATAACCTAGATTGAGCCAAGATCAAGTAGGTAAATAATGTAAATACATGCCTTATCTTGGATGCAGATGAATTATTAATTATGGTACTAAAGGTTCTGTCCTATTCATTTTTGTACACCTTTAGCAGAGAAACCATTGAATGTTATCTTACATGTTTATCTTCATTGTGCATTTTAGTGAAGAAATCCCTTTTCACATTTGGTAAAAAAACTATTTTTCACCAACCCAGAGGTATATTTTTGGTAAAAAATCATCTTTTATCAACCTGGAGGCATGTTTTTGGCAAAGGAACTTTCTCGTTCACTTATATATTTATCCCAAAGAA